CGGTGGCAGTCATGTGACACGGCGGTGGTGAGATCACACGGGCGGCAGTCATGTGACACGGCGGTGGTGAAATCATACGGGCGGCAGTCATGTGACACGGCGGTGGTGAGATCACACGGGCGGCAGTCATGTGACACGGCGGTGGTGAGATCACACGGGCTGCAGTCATGTGACACGGCGGTGGTGAGATTATACGGGTGGCAGTCATGTGACACGGCGGTGGTGAGATCACACGGGCGGCAGTCATGTGACACGGCGGTGGTGAGATCACACGGGTGGCAGTCATGTGACACGGCGGTGGTGAGATCACACGGGCGGCAGTCATAAGACACGGCGGTGGTGAGATCACACGGGCGGCAGTCATAAGACACGGCGGTTGTGAGATCACACGGTGGCAGTCATGTGACACGGCGGTTGTGAGATCATACGGTGGCAGTCATGTGACACGGCGGTGGTGAGATCACACGGGTGGCAGTCATGTGACACGGCGGTGGTGAGATCACACGGGCGGCAGTCATGTAACACGGTGGTGGTGAGATCACACGGGTGGCAGTCATGTGACACGGTGGTGGTGAGATCACACGGTGACAGTCATGTGACACGGTGATGGTGAGATCACACGGTGGCAGTCATGTGACACGGCGGTGGTGAGATCATACGGGCGGCAGTCATGTGACACGGCGGTGGTGAAATCATACGGGCGGCAGTCATGTGACACGGCGGTGGTGAGATCACACGGGTGGCAGTCATGTGACACGGTGGTGGTGAGATCACATGGTGGCAGTCATGTGACACGGCGGTGGTGAGATCACACGGGCGGCAGTCATGTGACACGGCGGTGGTGAGATCACACGGGCGGCAGTCATGTGACACGGCGGTGGTGAGATCACACGGGCGGCAGTCATGTGACACGGCGGTGGTGAGATCACACGGGCGGCAGTCATGTGACACGGCGGTGGTGAGATCACACGGGCGGCAGTCATGTGACACGGCGGTGGTGAGATCACACGGGCGGCAGTCATGTGACACGGCGGTGGTGAGATCACACGGGCGGCAGTCATGTGACACGGCGGTGGTGAGATCACACGGGCGGCAGTCATGTGACACGGCGGTGGTGAGATCACACGGGCGGCAGTCATGTGACACGGCGGTGGTGAGATCACACGGGTGGCAGTCATGTGACACGGCGGTGGTGAGATCACACGGGTGGCAGTCATGTGACACGGCGGTGGTGAGATCACACGGGTGGCAGTCATGTGACACGGCGGTGGTGAGATCACACGGGTGGCAGTCATGTGACACGGCGGTGGTGAGATCACACGGGTGGCAGTCATGTGACACGGCGGTGGTGAGATCACACGGGTGGCAGTCATGTGACACGGTGGTGGTGAGGTCACACGGGCGCCATACAATCACACACAGATGGCGCGAGCAACATCTGTTCAAGTTTTAGGTTCACTCAGTCATTAACTAATTGGCTGTTCCACCTCAGTTACATCAGCAGCTTTCTATCTATTTTAAACTGCAAAGATGTTTCATTACGCAAACATTTTGACGCGGAAAAGAGAGCGATGCTCAACAACCTGTCACCGAAATTCATTTGCCCAAGTTAAACTAAAACGTTTCCATTTAGAATTTTATGGTGGAGAAAATGTTGACAATAAATTGTTGTACTCTATATTTGGGACCGTCTTCCTTTTCGCTTCTTTACGAGTAATTTTTAAATAAGTGCTAAGACAGCAAGGTTGAATTTAAGTGAAATTTTAATATGGAGTTACAGTTTGAAGCTTCTTTTACTTCTAAACGCTAACATCAAAACGCATAACCAAACTCAGACCTGAGTTTTCACACTCATATTAATAGGAACACATGCCAGCAAAACCACTAAATTTTACCAGATATTTTAATCTTGAACATGAACGTCACCAACTCTCTGCCGACTCAGTAATTACAAGAGAGTCGTTTATTCGCTGTTGAGGATGCTTCAGTAAACTACCCTGCAACATGTAAACACGGGAATTTTCCCTCCGAATTGATTCCCCCCGGGAGGCCAAGCTCTGCAGTCCTGGAGCTGTGCACGCTAATGAACGTACACGAGAGCATGACTTTGACGCAGCAACGCTCACCGCAGCACTTGGAACGCTCACCGCAGCAC